CTAGTGTATAGGAACATTAAAAGGAGTTCAGGGGAAAGAGAACAGGGTGTCTGGAACAATTAGCAGCATTCAAGAGAGGGAACTGGAACTACCCTGTAAAAAGGAACATAAAAGATGGATGATGATAGAATGTTAAGAGTTTTAAGGTTTGAGAGATGGATCTGGAGAATGTCTTACGGCTGCTGTGAAAATTAAATGTGTTTCAGCACTGATTCAGTGTTTATGCTTTTTAGCTGTTCAGTGGAGATTCTTTACAATAATAACCTAAAGATGGAAAAGATAAATGGTGTAAGACAATGATGGCGAACTTTTTTGAGCTTTCAATGATAACAAACAGCCTGCTATTCGCACGCATGATACAGGTTCACCACCAGTAGTATAGGAAAAGACTTCGTGGTTTTTGTTTTGTTTTGTTTTTTTGGAATCAGGGATGGAACTCAGATCCTTGCGCTTGTGCAACAGGCGGCAAAACCGCTGAGCTAAATTCCCAGCCCCCTTCATGGTTTTTTGAGACGGAGTATCACTCTGTATCCAGCCAGGCCTTGAACTCGCAGTGACCCTCCTGCTTCAGCCTCCTGAGGGGTGGGATTACAGGCGTGCACCACTTCTACCCTTTTGTGCGTGCATGCGTGTGTGTTGAATGAAATCTTGCCCAGGCTCGTCTGAAACTTGTGGTTTCAAGTGATTCTTATGCCTCAGCCTCCTAAATGGCTGGGTCTTAGGCTCATGGCACTGCAGCCAGTTAAAACTGTCACTTTTGAAGCTGTATAATTACTTGGCTCATTTGATTCAATGACAAGTGTTTGCTTCCTTATGACATTACACCATACATTGAGTGCAGGAATTGTTTTTACATTCCTTATTTTTTTATTATTCATCTACCAAATCAGGTACTCCCTATTCTTTTGGGGTTTTGGGGGGTTTTTTTGTTTTGTTTTTTGGTACTGGGGATCGAACTTGGGACCTTGCGCTTGCGAGGCAGGCAGCGGAACTGCTGAGCTAAATCCCTGGCCCACTGTCTATTCTTTTGAAACCTCTAATAGCTAATTTTCATTCAGCAAATAATGATTATTTCCTGTGTGTAAAGCATTGGCTGCTGGAAATACAGGGTTGTGAACAAGGCAAACACAATGGCTGTGCCTATAAAGCTGATAATCTGACATGGAGGGCCTACATTAAATAATTACTATTCTTTGCTCTTACTTGTGTCCTTATAGTGATTGAACCAGTACTATACCTGTCTGAGTACTTCCATCTGAACTGCACATTGTAAGAATTACACTGATTCATTGTTATTGGAAGTCCAAGGTCTCATAGCAATAAATAATTTCATTCATTCAATTTCTAAGATATTTCTCTTTTTTTATGGTTTTTTGAGACAGGGTCTCACTATGTAATGTAGGCTGGCCTTGAATGCACTATGTAGCCCAGGCTAGCTTGAAACTCATGGTGATCCATCTGCATCAGCCTCCTGAGTGCTAGGATTACAGGTGTGTGCCCCCACACCCAGCAGATGTTTTCGTAAGGAGATTTTTCAGAGAAACAAAAACCTATAACTTGATATCTTCAGCTATAATACAACTCTCCCTTTTTTGTGTTGTTCAACCTAGGTGCTACTAAACTGCACCCCCTAACCCCTATAAAACACTACTTCTTCATTGGTCTCCATGTAATTGTTACTTCTTCCTCTTCAATTCCATATCACACACTGGTGTTGAGAAATAATGCTAAAACATGATTTTTATTCCAGCTACAAACTAGTAGTACAGAATATAAATCTCTTTAGCCTTACATTTGAGAGTTTATAACATTAGTTTCAAACTGTCTACCACTTTGACTCTTCCTTCTTGGGAGCTCATGGCTCAAAATGGTTTTTGTTGTTTTGGTTTGGGTTGGTTTTTTTGGGTGGTGGTGGTAGTGGTGGTGGTTGTTGTTTTGGTACCAGTGCTCGAACTTGGGTCCTTGTGCTTGCGGGGCAGGTGGTGGAACCACTGAGCTAAATCCCTGGCCCAGGGTTGGTTTTGAGACAGGGTCTCACTATGTAGTTCATGCTGGCCTGGAACTGCGGTAATCTTCCCTGCCTCACTCAGGCTCCCGAATGCTGGGACTTACAGCCATGTGCCACCATGCCTGGCCTCAGTGATTTGTTATTGCCCCTGGTTAGCATGCCCTTTTCTGCCTTCTCAATCAAAATATTATCCACTCTTGAGTATATGCCTGGCAGTAGACCATTTTCACAATACTTTTTTAGACTTGTTTAATTCCCATTGATCCTTCTTCTGAATTCTCTTAGCATTTTTGGCTGCCTCTTTTGACTTGAGCATACATCATTTTGCATTTGAAAAGAAAATCATCCCTAGTTCCTATTCCATGTACAATAATATTCTCAATACATAAGCCCAGGTAGAAAACACAAATGGAGAGTATGGAGTATTAACTTGAAAGAAGTAAGCTATAGGTTCCTTGAAAGGGAAAGGAATCATGGTTAAGTTTAAAGAGATAAAAGTACCAGTCTTTGTACAGCAAAAAGTCCTACTTATTTTTAAGTTGCATAGAAATGAGATGTGGTCTTTTGTGAGTTGACTTATGCTTGCTTTCCCTTCAGCCTATTTGACTTTTCTGCCTTCCCATCACTTTTTTAATGCACTTTCTGAATTTCTTCTCACTTTCTTAAAAACCTAGGTAAATTAGATTCGTTTTAAAAATCTGCTGTAACTCATGCTGGGTGTAGTGGCACACGCCTGTAATTCTAGCACCCCGGCTAGTTGAGGCCAAGAGGATTGTGAATTCAAGGCCAGCCTGGGGTATATACATAGCAAGACTCCATCTCAGAACACATATACATAAATGTTGGACATTACAGAAGTTACTGACAACTCTCTGTCATAGATTTGTGGCTTCAGTTAAGTAAGACAGAGAGGAAAAAGGAAAGGAGAACGCAACTTTCTTGTGTTCTGTGTTTAGTGGCAGTTTTCCATGTTTTATGTCTGGCAAGTACTTAAGAATGGTTGAAGTGGCCTAATACAGTGGCACACATCTGTAATCCCAGCTACAGCCAAATTTGAGACCAGGCTAGGCAATTTAAACTCTGAAATTTTTAAAAAACAAAATTTTTTTTTTTTTATTATCTAGAGATGTAGCTCAGCTGTGTATGTTCGCCTAGCATGAGCCAGCCGCTGGGTCCAATCCCAAATAACACAAGAAAACCAAAGAAAAACGGATGAAGCAAAAGTGACAGGAATGAATTTAAACTGTCTAAGCTTATTCCCCTTAGGATCTTTTATTTTCAACATAAGATTCTAGGGAATAGGACTGAATTAAAGGTTTATTTTTATTTTTTATCTTGGGTACTGTGCTTGAAGTTCTTGGAGTTCTGATAGATGCCATCAAGGAATAATGGTGGTGAGTGTCCAGAACCATGAGTTAGAATAGATTGTCTTTTGATCTGGTTTGGTTTGGTTTTTTGTGGTGCTGTTAAGGCTTGATGAATGCTAGGCAGGTACTCTACCCCTGAACTACATTGTCAGCCCTAGATGACTTTTTTAGAGAAGAGATACCAGAATATCACACATGTAGCTAACTAAATTTTCTAATTTCTTCTCAGCCTTTTGGCTAAGATCAAGTATAGTACATTTTCTAGAAAATTAAATGTAAAATATTAAATTCTTATACTTTTTTTTTTTGTACCTGCCTCCAAGAAGAAATAACAATATAGCAAGCAGTAAAGACTGGCATTTGCTATGCTTTTGGCATGGATTTCAAAAAAGCCTTTTCTTTTTTAAATACTAATAAAACAGACTTTCAACTATGGTAAATCTTGGTACCAGTTCCATTTACTGGAATTGACAGAGGAAATGAGTCCAGTTTAAATTTTATAAGCACTTGTTCTTTTTGAGACAAAGTCTTGCTAAATTGCCCAGGCTAGCCTCAAACTTGTTCTTCTACCTCAACCTCCCAGGTAGTTGGGATTATAGATGTGCCACATTGTACAGGACATCTTCAACCATTCTTGAAAACTGCTTTCCAAATACTTTTTTTAAAAGCATTATATACTGGCCAGGGCCAGGGATTTAGCTCAGTGGTTCTGCCGCCTGCCTCACAAGCACAAGGTCCCGAGTTCTAGCCCAGTACCAAAAAAAAAAAAAAAACATTGTATACTGGCCAGTTTTCCTTTCAAGCTGAATTTGCTGTGTAGATAAGTTTGAAATAGAAATGGATGCTCATTAACATCAAAATTTGAAATCACTTATTGTGATGATTCCTAGTCATTGGGGTAAATGAAATAAACACTAGTAGTCCTTGAGATATTGATGATAAGTTATATATTTGTCCATAATAATGTAGCACTGCATAAGTAAAACATTCTTGGCAAAAAGCAAATAACTGTCATCTATTTGAATTTAATAGTGGATGCTTGCTGTAAATATGTGGCTCCTTTTTAAAAAAGAATAATCATTAAGTACAGTTTGGTGGAAAGGGGAACCAGGAATGTGATAAAAAGAGGTTTACCTTCTGAAACATTTTGGAGTGACTGCTGTAGTACTTTCTTCGGGTAGAAAGCAGATCCAGGTGAGATTAAGCAATTTGCCTAAAGTCACAGAACTCAATGGCAGATGGGTATAGATATCAGCTGCTCTTTGGTAAGAAGAGTTAAGTCAGTCATGTATGTCTTTTTAGGGCATTGGGGTCACTTGAAAAGAAAAGAAGTCTTCTCTTATTTTGTATTGGGCAGTGTCATTAATTGGTGAGTTTGTCTTCTGAATAGAGAAGTTACTTTAAATAAAACCTAACCAGGGGGCCAGGGATTTAGCTTAGTGGTGCCACCGCCTGCCTCGCAAGTGGAAGGTCCTGAGTTGTTTGAACCCAGTGCCAAATAAAAACCTAACCAGGGAAGAAAAACTGTCTTTATCTTGAAGTTTTAAGAATTTAATAAAAATTTTATATTAAATGATAATTAGGTTTTTATTATAACACTCCTTTTTCTTTTTCACTTTTGTTAGGTGGTATGGCCAGGAAAAAGATTATAATGTGCTAGTCATGGATCTTCTGGGACCCAGCCTTGAAGACCTCTTCAATTTCTGTTCAAGAAGGTTCACAATGAAAACTGTACTTATGTTAGCTGACCAGGTATGTGAAATTTTGGCAAAAATAAAAACTGAAAATATAACATTTCATGAATTAGAATATTAAATCCATGTTTCACTGTTTAAAAGCAAAAGAGATTTGTGTCCCACTCTCCTATGACTTACAAATGTTTTCTGTAGGTATTATGAGTAGGATCCTTATAAAAGCTGTACTGTATTTTTGAGAAGTACTAAAGTAGTAATTTAAGGAAGAATTTTTTTTTCACTAAATAGATTTTTTTTTTCTTTTTTTTTTTTTTCTTTTTCTTCCCTCGGTACCGGGGATTGAACTCAGGGCCTTGCACTTGCAAGGCAGGTACAGTGCCACTGAGCTAAATCCCCGGCCCTGTATGTTTCTTGAAGTAATGGATTCTTAACCACTAGTCTTACTGAAGCAGGACTCAAAACGTTTTTGCCTTGGCATGCATTAGATTCATGCATTAGATTTTATTTTGATTTTAAGAAAATGAGAAATAGTTTTTTAAAATTACAATGTAGTGAACTAGGGTGTCAGGAACAAACCTAATGAATAAAGATACTACATTAAGAAATGGGTAAATATTAAGGAACTTTTAATTTTGGTCAAGATTTGTCACCTTTTAAGGGCAGGAAAATACTGGGAATGATTCAAGTTAAAATCTGTTCTTATAAAAATGTTGAAGTAATAACATTTCTTAAATATAGATTAGATGTTATAAAGGAAAATGGTAATAAACAACTGGCATTTGAGGTAGAATTTTAGAAAGTTTATAAATTCAGAACATTAGAAAGTAGTGTTCATTTCCTGTTTTCATCCCCTGATTCTCCAAGTTTTAACATAAAAGCTACTGTGTGGCTTAAACAAATAGTAGTAGCAAATTGCAGTGTTCTTTTATGGAGTATATTATAAATTCAAGCTTCATAAATTTAATAAAACCTATCAGTGTGTTTTAACTAACATGTGAGTGAATCCTGATAAAAGATTAATAGCTTATTTGTTGCAGGTGCAGTTAATACATAAGCATTTATACAGTGGACATATATTGAGGGCCTACCATTCTTTTAACTACTGGGGAACACAGAATAAGAAGTCCCTTTCCTCTAGGACAGAAAGATGGCAAAATAAGTTACTTGAGGTTCTGTGAAAGAATGTAATTCCTGGAGGGGGTTTGCAAGAAAGCCTTTGTTTAAGCCAATTAATGTCTTGTCACAATAGATAATAGCTAATACCTGTAGTCTGTATGTTGCACTTGACTTTCTCTCTCTCTCTCTCTCTCTCTCTCTCTCTCTCTCTCTCTCTCTGTCACATGTGTGCGTGCATGTGTGTTTTACTGGGGACTGAACGCAAGACCTTGCATATGGTAGGCCAGCATTCTAACACTGAGGTGCTTTCCCAGCCCTTCTTTTTTTATTGTTATTTTAGTTTGAGACAAGGTGTTACTAAATTGCCCAGGCTAGCCTCAAACTTAGAATCATCCTGCCTCAGCCTTGCAATTTTAGTTGACCTTTTCCCAGCGATTTAATAGTTACAAGGTAATGGTTGATATTAACAAAACAAAAACAAGTATGTATATTAAGGGACCTAAATATTTTGTTTCACTTTCTGTAAAGTTTGTTGTTACACCAAAAAGATAAGATAACATTTGTATATTGTATACATTTGCTGCTTTGAGGATATAGTTTAAGGCAGTGATTGGGAGTTTGGCTTCAGAAGATGCCACAGTAGAAGAGAATGATTTAAAATCGGTATATCCAAGGGAAATGGGGACAAATGTACTACTGAGAAGAATAATAACATATGGATAGAAAGATAATGTTAACAGTCTTTAGATATGGAATACATTTTAAAATACAAGTTAATATCTTACAGAAAAGACAGACATACTTGATAATTTAAAAGTCAAAGATGGGCCGGGAATTTAGCTCAGTAGTGTCGTCGCCTGCCTCGCAAGCAAGCGCAAGGACCTGAGTTTGATCCCTGGTACCAAAAAAAAAAAAGTCAAAGCTTCTGTTGTATATAAGATTCTATAAATGCTAAAAGATATTTAGATCAAAGGTTGTTGTATGCAAAGAGCTCCTAAAAATTGAAAGGCATTTGAATGTTATATCAAAATGAAAAGTATTTATGTACTTCAATCCCTGTGATTTTATTAGATTTATACCCATAGCAATAAAAACACTAGTAGCTAAGAATATATAAATATGTGTTGTTAGTATTGTTGATTATAGGGAGGAAAAACTGGAAACAATATTGTGAGTAGGAGAATAACTTGAAAAAACTTCTGTACTATAAAATATTTATAGCCATTGAAAATAATATCACAAGGGCCGCGGATTTAGCTCAGTGGCCTTGCCGCCTGCTGTGCAAGCGCAAGGACCCGAGTTCAATCCCCGGTACCAAAAGAAAATAATAATAATATTACAGAGCTGAGGCTGTAACTCAGTAGTAGAATGTGTTCTTAGCATGCATGAAGCCCTGCATATGGATGTGGAATACATTTTTAAATATCCCTAGCATGAAAAATAATGATTAGAATATTTGTCTGGACATAATTTCCAAGACAATAAAGAAAGCTTGTTAGGCAGGGATTTGGCTCACAGGTTCCAGTGCCTGCCTCACAAACGCAAAGTCCTGAGTTTGATCCCTGGTACCAAAAAAAAAAAAAAAAGAATGCTTGTTAGAATGACATGTTAATATGAGCATGGAGAAGAACAGGAGAGTTTGTTTTGTTTTGTTTTTATGCACAAGGAAAGAAACCTGACATGTAGGTAGGTGTCTTTCTCTATATAAAACATGTTTATGTTATAGCTACCAACTTCCAGGAATGAGGAGTAGAACATGAGGATATCACAAAAGTCCAACCTGGGCAACTAGTGACTTAGTGAGACCCTATCTCAACACAATAAAAGGGTTGGGGGCTGAGGATTTAGCTCAGTGGTGCCATTGCCTGCCTCACAAACTTAAGGTCCCAAGTTTTATCCCCAGTTCCAAAAAAAAAATTAGATGCACAATAAAAGGGTTGGGAGGAGCACCAAATATAGCACAATATGAAGACCCTGGGCTCAATCCCCAGTATAGGGGGTAGGAGTGGGGAAGAAAAATAAATAGAATGCTTCTCAGTTTGAGATGACAAGTTACTAACACCTATATTTGTTGGTTGGTCAACACCCCTCCTAAGTACACCTGTGTATGATTAAAAGAATAGTATGGAGGGCCAGGAATTTAGCTCAGTGGTTCTGCTGCCTGCCTTGCAAGCGCAAGGACCCGAGTTCGATCCCCGGTACCAAAAAAAACAAAAAACAAAAGAATAGTATGGAAATATAGGCTTAGTTATTGCTGGATTTTTTTGTATTGGCAGTCCAACCCAGGGCCTTGCACATGCTAAACACACTGAGGTGTACCATTGCCCCTACTGAGCTATTTTAACACAGGTTACCTACTTTATTTAACTTATTATTATAACAATTTAAATGATTCCTAATGTATTGCTTTTATAATTTGAATGTCACAGACAAGTCTATCAAGTTGGACCTGTGTTTTTAACCACTAATACTGGAAAAATAAGCCAAAGGGCATTATATGAGGTGTGATAGAAATATGTGATGAATATTTAAATGTTTTTAAAACTTTACAATAAAAGATACATTGTCATTAGTCTCCCTCAGAATACTTCAAATATACTTATCCCATTGTTCTTGCCCTTTTTGAAACAGTCCTGGAAGTCCTCTTTGGTGCCTTTGTGAGATGTGATAAAAAATATGGTGAATGCTGCTCCCATGTGCCATGGAACAGAAAGGCAGACTTGTAAAAACATTATATTGTGTCCTTATTCACCAGATACAGCACTGCAGCTTCTGGCTGTTGCCCAACATCTGAAAGGGACCATTAATGCTAATCGTTTTGGGTCAGTTCATTACATTGAGTCAGACGCGGGAGCACTCTTGAAGATGCTCATGAAAACCAAATTCCAGAACTGCTTCAGAAAGTGGCAAGAATAATGGGATAAGTATTCAAAGAGAGAAGAAAGTATTTTGAGGTCTGATAGCAGCGTCTTTTACTATAATAAAATATTCAAAGTTTTAACTTTTTTTATCATACTTTATGCTTAGATATCCAGCAAACTAGAAATAAGTACAAATTTTTGTTCTTTGATTTAATATTTTCTAGTGCTGTCATTGTGAGCTGTGGAAATGCTTGGGGAAGAAATGTGTTGCTTTTTATCACTTAACTCATTTATCTCCTCCCTTTTTTTTTCAGATGATCAGTAGAATTGAATATGTGCATACAAAGAATTTTATACACAGAGACATTAAGCCAGATAACTTCCTAATGGGTATTGGGCGTCACTGTAATAAGGTTAGTCAAATGGTCTTTGCATGAAAGAGAAAAATATTGACAAGAGTTGCTTTGGAAAACTTTCCAATCTTAAGCCATAGTAAATTGAATTTGCTGTTGATAATTGCTTTAAAAGATTGTGCTAGAAGGATAATTGGCTAACTCTATTAACTTAGTAACTTGAAATATATTCTCTCCAACTTACCCAACCAACATTAGATATCTATATGGAAATATTTAAAATTCCAAGGGCTTTATAATGAAGTGCAATCAACTGTTATTTAAATGTAGAAGAGTTGTATCTATTTTTCACTCACTTGAATAGTGAAAACCTCCATATATACTTTTCCTCCTGTATGCTAAAAGAACAGATTTTAACTTTGGCTCTAAAGTGTGGGTTTTTGTAATATATGTGCTTGTGCCAGTGTGGCAACCTGACCCATCTGTCACCATGGAGTTAACATTTGCTGACTGAGCATGATTGATACTGAGAATTCCTCAGTCCTTGGATTTGTGTATTTAAAAGGATAACTTTTGGGCCTGCTTCAAAAGTAGTTGACAGTTTTTTACTTGTGTGCCAAGTTGGGTGAGTCCCTCCACTTCCCTTAAAGGAAAATGTAGACAAGTGAAATGAAATTCATACAGCAAAACTAGTGCTAATTGGGGTCTCTGAGTATGGTCCAGCCTATTGGGTGGTTGGGTTGTGGTTAGTGACGCATGATTGCAGATAGAAACTAATTGTGTTGAAATTTTTTCTGCAATGATTAGTTTTATTGAGTGAATTGCTTTCTTTATCCATTCACTGTTGAGCTCGGGCAGACAGGCAGCATTGGCAATGCCCTAAGCATGTTATGATCTGATGATCTTACAGAAATTCTCAACTTCAGGACAACTTGGGGGCTTTTTGTTTTTGTGGGGTTTTTTGTTTTGTTTTGTTTTGTTTTTGGAAGGAAGAGTCACATTTGTTTTATTAAACTATTTTAGGGAATGTTTGGTGTTTTTAGATCCAGCTATAAATGTTTACCTTCGTTTGCCTGTATGAATGCCAACTTGGAGCCATTACCATTAGAATTGGTGTTATTTGTTAATGTGTGAGATGTTAATGTTGGTCTGACCAAGTTTCAGGAATTTAAATTTTTTATTGAGCTTTTATCAATGAGAAGTGTTTCAGTATATATTAACTGATTATTTTCAAATTGTACTTTTTTAAAAAACACTTAGCTTATCTCTTTGAAATCCAGGTTCTTAATGTTGTTACAACAAAACCTGGAGTTTAATAGAAAAAAAATTACTAATTCAATTTTTTGGACAATTTTGTCACTGCAACTCTTCTTTTAGCCATTCCCTAGCCTCCCCCCTTCACATTTTCTTACCCCTAAAGACCCATTGTTCTCATAGATAGGATACATGTCTGCATGTTGGCAGTGCAGTACATGGTTTTTTGCCTTTAAATTTAAATGATGGCCTAGATAATTTGGAGTCTTATTTTGATTTGTTTTTTTCTTTTTTTCCCTCCTTTAAGAAGTCCATGTTAATCACATAGTTGTGTTGGGAAATCCAAGTTATCTGGGTGATGAAAGCTTTTTTAGGGTGTGTCCTCCTTACAGATAAAAAATTTTATGGAGCTGCTTATTGTTACAGTTTCAAAGATAACTTAGGGTAGAAGTGAAATGTGTTTCTCCTAAGATCCAAGTAATAAATGTTGGTTTTGAATATTTTAGCTTAGTGTTCTGTTTATGTTAGTTGGTTTTTAGTGTTTTCTGTATCGTAGTTTGAAAAATGCCAGTTTTATGAGACTGGATCTTTTGGTCAGCTTGTTCTAGTAGTTTTCTATTCATGGGGGAAAAGATTTGGGGGGGCTTTTGAGATCAATTTTTAAATTTCTTTCTTGGAAAATTGTTCTGAATTTGATATTTAGGAGTGACCACTCCAATCATAGTGAATTTGCTCATCTCTTCCAGTAATCAGCCCTGCATGCTTATGAAAATAAATTTTAAGGTGACTAAATGCCTTCTACCTCTTCCTTACTGAAGATTTTTTTCCCCCATATGATCTTTTTTGGGGAAAGGGCAGATCGTGGTGCCAAAGATTGCAGATCTAAATTCCCCATTTTTGATTTAAAAATTCAAGAGCCAAATGTCACCATTGCTATCCCTGTTTCAGGCAGTGACACAATAATAGTGGCATTAAAAACCCCAGTATTCTCCAGAATTCAAATGTTCCTAAGCATGTGATTCTTATTTGGAAAACTGAGAAGCTACAGTGCTTGGTGGAAGAAGGATGGCATTTGGCTACCCTGTTCTTTCTCTAATGCCTCGGTGTTGCCTGTCTGCGCCGGCCATTGTTGCAATGTAAGCAATACTGTTTGATGCACTGCCACCCTCTATTGTCTGTTTAGTGTTTAGAATCTCCAGTGGGGAAGAGGAAAAGAAGCATGACTGTTAGTACTTCTCAGGACCCATCTTTCTCAGGATTAAACCAGGTCTGAAACTGTCTCCTATTCCAACCTCAATCCCAAATTCATGTGCTTTTCTTTTTTATTGCTTTATTTTGGTTATTTTTACTTTGTTTTAGTTCTGGAGAATGTAGATCTTGCTCAAGCACCTCTTATGTTGGCATTATTCAGACATACTTGGCAAACATAACATTACTAAGATACTCCTTTGTGGCTTTTGCTTAAAACTTGTGAATTTTAGAGAAAACCTAAATGAAAATAGGATATTATCTTTTAGATCTGTTAATATTCATATGTGGAAATACTATGTTGATGTAGTTTCTTTATGTAATAGTAAACTTGAGAATGACTAGTACTTTTTTTGGAGTTGTAGAACTTAATCAAAAAAAATTCAGTTGCATTAGTGTTGTAAAATGAATTCATTCTGCCTTACCTCTCCTTCTATAAAGAATTTCAGGTAAGTATAGGTCAGATTTCAGATCTAATATTTCTAGAATTGATTTTTCACAGCCTGTAAATTCTCAACTTCCACCAAATGGATACTTGAAAGAGCATTATATGCTTTGGAACTAAAAGATATTAACAATATAATAGTAATTAAGCACTTATCAGAATAAATGGTAGTTTATCATTAGTAATGTGGAAGATACATGAATGCATAACCTGATGATTTAGATTTGGGCAGGCCAAAAATCATTGCAGGAATTTGCTTCTAATTATCTAAAGAAAACACAAGGTTCTTTTCTCTTCAGTCTGTCTTTTATTTTTATAGACATTAGATTGCCCTTTTTTCCCCTTTACGATTGATTGTTTTTGTTGTACTGGGAATTGAACCCAGGGCCTTCACATTGAGCTCCATTCCTAGCCCTTGTTTTACTACATTTTAAAATTTTGAGACAGAGTCTTGGGAAGTTTCCCAGACCGGGCTTTAGCTTGCTATCCTTCTGTCTCAGCCTCCAGAATGTATGCACCACCACACCTGGTATCTATATGAATTTTAAGATGAAGGAAAATTTTTTTTTAATTGAGTACATATATTTTGATGCTTTTGAACAAATGATTCTTTTTCAGTTTAGCATAGGCCAAAATGAAGTATTAGTGTAAGTAATCAAAAAAGAAAAAACAGTACTTTGGTGTAGTACTTTTTTATATATGTGTATCACCTGAATAATAATTTAATCCTTTTACATACTGCCCAGCCTTATTTCAGGTCCACCTCCTGCTTTTTCAAAGGTCTCAGGAATTTAGTTACTTTTATGGGGAATGAGAGCAGATGATAGGTAAATAAGTACATTATAAGGTAATAGAAAATTTTAAAACTGTGGAGCTTCATTTTTTCTTATCCATTCATTTACTCATTTTTTAATTTACATGTGAAGTCACATTAAATTAATATTCTGTACATAGAGGTTACAACCTGTACATAGGTTGTGAAGTAAAGTGACCTTGTAAAATTTTTGAGAGGGCAAAAATATGTCACTCCTGGTTAGGAGAAAAATTGCTCCAGGTATTAAAAACTAAAATTAGAGGTAGTGTTTCCAAAGAAAATGACCCCAGTTTATCAAACATTAACTCATTTCTTCATGCCGTCAATAAATATGTAGGCTGCATTTTTTAAAACAGGCATAAACTTTGAAGCATAGTAGTTGAAGTCCACAGAAAAGCAAGTTGGTCCACCAAAGAAATTTTCCTGTCTATACATATGCAGTCCCATATATAAATACGTTGTCTTATGCTTATCGATACTGCCTTTGCTCATTTGGTTCTGCCTTTACATATTCACAGCTATTTGTATCTTTGATAGCACATGGTTTCATGTAAACACTTCTGATATATATTTATATTGGTTTTAAGTTGAAAACATACAAAAAGCTACTAAAGAAGCTTGCTAGGTAACCAAAGGTAATGCACTACTAAGAGATTTTTCTAGCTTTGAGTGGTTTTTCCTTTCCATTGTTCTTTGAAAATTGGATACCTTTCTTCAATAATGAAATTTCCTTTTTGTTTTTATAAAAGAAAATTTAAAATTGATTTATTTGCTTTTTAGTTTTTTAAAGAATTGAGACGCTTAAAAGTTAGCATTTTCTAATTTTTTAGGGTTTGAGGAGGGTGTTTTTTAATACAGCCTTTAGCCTTGTGGAAGGAAAGAACTCTTGGGAATACTGAATTTCTATAAAGCAGTCTGGTTGTGAGACAGTCAGTGTCTGATTATTGAGTTGTAAATGGAGATTTTGAAAGATTTAGACTTGAATAAATCTGTCAGGCATAATCATGTTATAGTGGTCCATTTTTCTCCTCTTTTTTGAAGTACTAAAGGGAAGTTTTCCCACAGAGGAAATTTCATGTACTGATTACCCACTTTTCATGCAAAACCCTCATAAAATATACTTAAGGATATGTCCTTTTGTGTTATTTTTTCCAAAGGGTGTTTTGAGACAGTCTTGCCTATATCAATTCAGGCTGGCCTTAAACTCATGGCAGTCCTCCTGCCTCAACTTTAAAAATGCTGGAATGACAGGTGTGCACCACTACACGGAGCTCCTGTTTTCTATGAATCTTGCAGAACTTAATTGTAATTTTTGTTTCGATTACCATAAGTGTATTTCACTCAGTTGAATATTAAAGTGTAAGATTTTTTTCTTAGTGTTTTACACCACTGACTTTTCCGTATTCCTAAAATAATAAGGGCCTGGGATTTGGCTCAGTGGCACCCATGCCTGCCTTGCAAGCACAAGGTCCTGAGTTTGATCCCCGGTGCCAAAAAAATACAATAATTTGATTGCTTAAAGAATTTATTCTTCTTAGAGAGCTTTCATTATACAATTATACTTTACTAATAATCCTTTTTTTGTTGTTTTTTAATAGTAGAGCAAGTGAAAACAAGGATCTCATTGTTCACATGGTGACAAATTCAAATAATAGTTTCTTTACTATCTAAAGTATAAATGAGAGTGTAAAGTGCCTGGATGAAATAAGTGTTACTCATCTTCCTACAGGAGATGCTTGGTCAGATTTTTAACCTAAATCTTGCCTTGTGTATTTTTGACACAAACTTCAACAGGGTAGATGAGCAAGTTGCCTAGCACACTACAGATTACAAACTGTAGCAGAAGGGACCCAATAGCCTGATGAAAAGAATTATAAATTGTAGGCATAACCTGAAAAGACCAGTACTCTAGAGTTATACACTGTAAGGGCACGAGCTTGATAATTATTGTAGATAAATATTATAGCATAGTGTAATGAGTAATATGATAAAGACCCCAATTTTAAGTAAAGTTTATTTTGCTTTTAATGGTAGGTAAATATGAATTTTTATTTTTTAAAATTTTATTTTATTTTTTATTTTTTGGTACCGGGGATCGAACTCGGGTCCTTGCGCTTGCGCAGCAGGCGGCGAAACCACTGAGCTAAATCCCCGGCCGGTAAATATGAATTTTTAAATCAAAAATAGGGGGTTTTTTTCCTCTACCTGCCTCACAAGTGCAAGCTTCCAAGTTTGATCCCAGGTACAAAAAAAAAAAATAGGGTTTTTTTCCTTTTAAAAGTTACTAATTCTGGAGAATAAAGTTTAATTATATAGAAAAATTATTCTATATTATAAATGAGGACCCTCTTTGTACAATATAGATAAGATAAATCTAAACATTCTAAAATACAAATTTTGTTTTTCCATTGACTCATGTAAACTTACTAGCAGGCACATGTTGATGTGCTTTTTTAAATTTTTTTAAATTGACTTGTTCTCTTTTCCAGGAATTTAAGCTGATCACATGATGTGAATGCACAGTACTGGAATGTAACACATGTTTCTTAATGAAAGTCTTATTTTTTGTTAGCAAAAAACAAAACAAAACAAAAAACTTGGTCTTACTGGCTACTGGACTTTCAAGGTTGCCTTATTTTAGATAATGAGCCTTCTGTTGGCATGCTGACAAGTGGCCTTTGTAGGAGGGAAGAATTCCAGATATAGCTTATGTCTAGATTTGAAACATGATGCTTGTTTACCAGTAGTAACAGTATGTCAGGTTTCATTATGTTAGCATACCTGACAACTCTGCTATCAAGCGTGTGTACATTTCTTTACTTATTTCATAAAGACAAACTCCTGAACTGGACCTTGTGAAGTTGTGCATGTAACAAGGGTAAACTACTAGACTTTAAGTAGGTTTTTTGGTTCTGTTTTGTTTTTTAATTTGGTTTGTTAAAGACTAGTATTTACTGGAGGGGGGGTTGTTATCCAACTTATACTTTATTTTGATATTTGAATGCATAGAACATATGGCATTTAATGAATAAGAAACAGTTTAATTGAGTAAGATTGAAAAACTAATGTCTCTTTATTTCTCTTTTAAAGTTATTCCTTATTGATTTTGGTTTGGCCAAAAAGTACAGAGACAACAGGACAAGGCAACACATACCATACAGAGAAGATAAAAACCTCACTGGCACTGCCCGATATGCTAGCATCAATGCACATCTTGGTATTGAGCAGAGGTGAGTCTGAAAATTTAATGTGTTTATCAAATCTATAGCAAAAACTATTAATGGGTTTTTGAAATGTTTTAATTGATTTTTTAGAATGTCTAAGGATGTCTCTTGGCTGAAGATTTAAAAGATGCTTATTAATTGTTTTACCTACTGCTTTTAGCCTTTGCAGAGTTGCTAATTATATGAGGTCTTTCGTTTTTGTTGTTGTTGACAGTTGTCTCCTGGTAAAATACTGCATGATGGAATATTAGAAGCATTAACGCTATTTTTACATTTCTTTTTGCAACTGAACATAGTACTGATTATATTTTAGTGGTGCAGGTTGAGTTTGGGGTAACAATTGGTTATTTTTACAGGGAAAATGTTAGGAGAGTACTAATAAACCAGTGGGGGATTGGTATACTATCTCCTGTTGTACTTTTTCACTGATATAAATTAATAGGTTCTAGTTAAAAGTAAATCATCTCTAGTCTCTTCCCATATCTTCACTTGAATTCTGGCTTTTCAATTTCCCTTCATTAACTTTTTTTCCCCATAAAAGATAAAAATAACAAATCATATGCCTTTGTGTTGGGAATTCATGAGAATTTCTAGTTGGATATCTGAATATCTTAGGTTAAACTAAGATTTCACCTTTTCCATATGCTAAAATATTAACCTATATTTAAATATGTGTATTTATGGATGTGACACAGTGGTAGAACACTTGCCTAGCATATACAAGGCCCTGAGTCTGTCTGATTACCAGCACTACAAACAAATGTGTGTATTTATTGGAATATATGTTTATGTGAATATACATTCGTATATTTAATTAGCTTTAAAATGTAATTTCAGTATCCCTAAAGTATCTTGCTACATAGTTTTCTGTTTTCATTAACCTTGTTTAGAGAGTTGTTTAGCTAAATCTTTTTTGTTCTTTAGTACTGTGCTCTTAAAATTTTAGATTTTGTGAGAAAAATTTGTTTAATCTGTCATGAACTTTATGTTGTGAACTAGGTACTTTCTTGCATAAGACACCAAATAATTCTGTCTTTGTTAGGAAAAATTTTTTCTGTGTTTAATATTTGGCTTTTTTTCATGTGTTACCCATTATAGCTCCAGTTTATAAAATTATATTTTCTTTTCTAGTCGTCGAGATGACATGGAATCATTAGGTTATGTTTTGATGTATTTTAATAGAACCAGCCTGCCATGGCAAGGACTCAAGGTAATCAGATCCAAATTACTGGGATTTTGTTTTTAAGAAAAAAATTAAGCTGGATCTGGTGACGCACACCAGTAGTCTCAGCACTCATGCGGCCAATGGAAGGATCACTTGGGCCCAGGAGTTTGAGGCCAGCACAAGCAATTTAACAAGGCCCCATCTTAAAAAAAGTAATATTGGGGAGATGTCTTTTATGTTCCTTCCAGATCTATAGTTTTTCCTGAGATGGAATTGACTTTATTTTTGTCTTTTACTTGGAGAGAAAAATGTAATCATTTTAGTAATAACTTACTAACTTAACTTAAGAATAATTTCCCTGTTTTTGGTACCGGGTATTGAACTTGGGTCCTTGCGCTTGCGAGGCAGGCGTCAGAACCACTGAGCTAAATCCCCGGCCCAAGAATAATTTCTTTGAGATAGTAAGATGGTACCCATTGGTAATCGCTAGCTGTACTACATGTAAAGGCTCTCATTTTGATGTGTAACCATGTTGTTGAAAAGGTATAGAGTAAAACTTGTTCATCTAGTAGTGCTGCTTATTTGTACAAATATTCAAATACTTTGTTCTATGATGTCATAGAATTTAATGGCTATCTTTATCCTTTATTGGTCCATTAAAGGTTAAAGATACCTATATTAAGTGTCTGAAATAGTTACAGTGCTTCTTGTGGATAATTTTATACAACATGAATTTAATCCCACCTACTACTACTTAAGTCTCGGGACTTAAACCTTATCTAGTATATGTTTGTACCTTATCTATTATATATTTATAGTATATATTTATCTAGTATAAACCTTATCTAGTATATATTTGTGCATTTGGTGTATTAAGATTTTTCTCAGTAGTAGTGAGTATATCTTGTTCTTGATTCTTATTTTCTATAGGCTGCAACAAAAAAACAAAAATATGAAAAGATTAGTGAAAAGAAGATGTCCACTCCTGTTGAAGTTTTATGTAAGGTAAATATGTATGATGGTTATTATTTTAAAATACAAGAACAAAAAGAAACATTTTACTTACCAGACTTAAATAGTACTTAAATATTAGCAGTTTGCTATTTTAAGTTTTCATTTTGGTTATTCTAAATATCTTTGGCGATGGCTTAAACATATGAATCATCTCAAATAAGTGTTTTATGTCTCTGATTGGTTAGTGCATTAATCTGTAAAAAGAGTGGAGGAAAATTAACAAGGCAGATAAACTTTCCAAATAGAGCCTTTTTGGGCTGGGGATTTAGCTCAGTGGTTCTGTCACCTGCCTCGCAAGCGCAAGGTCCCGAGTTCGATCCCCGTTACCAAAAAAAAAACAAAAAACAAATATAGAGCCTTTTTGATGTATGAGAAAAATTAAGAAATAGTCTCCTTTCAGCATAAACTGATTGGAAGGAGAGGTACATGAAGGAATAGAGAAATGAGCAGACACATCAGAGCTATCCAAAAATAGCAGTTTTCTAACAATAGAAAAATCTAGGCAATAATATGAATCAGGCTTGTTTCTCTGAAGTCTCAGACTTTATAAAAAGACAAGTTAGGGCCCGGGGATTTAGCTCAGTGGTTCTACCACCTGCCTTGCAAGCACAAGGTCTGGAGTTGATCCCTGGTACCAAAAAAGATAAGTTAGAGTGGAGAAGTATTTGTGTCCTGATGAATAACTATGATCTCTTCCATAGAAATAAGGCCATATGATCTTCTTTGAGACAGTAATTGCATACTTGAAAATAAAATTAAAATGTGTAATATATCCATTGCTTTGGTTTTAGGTCTTCACTCAACAAAGAAATAGCATGAGTACTTTGTAACCATTAAATCCAATTATGTAAATGTGATTAGTATAAAATGTTGCAGGTGTAACCATTCTGTCCTTTTTGGACTCCTATGAGAAATTTCTCAAATCATGAATTTGTGGGAAGAGATTGCCTCCTTAACTCCCACCCTCCACATTTGCATATACTAAGAGGGAGGAGATAATTGGGTTTTGGGTGTGTTTTAATATTTTTCATTGCTGCATTGCTGATGGCATAATCCTCTTGGTGACAGATAAGAAGAGCCTTAAAAGTCTTCAAAGGCTGGTGGTGGTGGCGGCACACGCCTATATTCCCAGTACTTAAGAGAGGCCAAGGCAGGAGGATTGCTGAGTTTGAGGCCAGCCTAAACTACAGAGTGAGATCCTGTCTCAAAAATCAAACGAGCAAAAATCTTTTGAGTTTTTTTATAGACATCAATAAGATAGCAAATAAACAAGTGGAATATCTGAATTGTTTGGGAACATAGTTCTGTATAGGAAAAAGATGCATATTTCCTCTGTAAATATAAAAAAATGTATATAATAAAGTGGGTAGGGCCAGGGATTTAGCTCAGTGGTGCCGCTGCCTGCCTTGCAAGCTCAAGGTCCCGAGTTCGATCCCTGACACCAAAATAAAAAGAGAAAAGAAACATAGTTTACTGGTACTTATTTGAAAGTCTTTATAATAGTGAGTAAAACGATGAAGCTTGGTTGAAATTCATAAAAAACCCAGGCCATAATTTTATCATACCTCTCTGTAAAGTAATGAAACATCCCATTCAGAAACATTTTTTTGCTTATATTTAATAATTTATTTTCCTATTTTAAATTAACAGTTTGTATTTTGCTCTTTTTTAACTCTTAAACCTTTAGGGATTTCCTGCAGAATTTGCCATGTACTTAAACTATTGTCGTGGGCTGCGCTTTGAGGAAGCCCCAGATTACATGTACCTGAGGCAGCTATTTCGCATCCTTTTCAGGTCAGTTTTTAAGATATTTTTTAAGACTATACATGTCAGTGTGAGAAATAGATTAACTCTATTTAACTTACCTATTCTGATAATTACCAAACTATAGTAAAAGAGGTTTAACAATATGAGTAAAAGAGACAGTTGAATCATTGTAGTCTTAATTTTTCCAAAGTAATTGCAACTCAGCATTACTTATAAGTGGCTGTCAGTGCCCCCTTGGAACTCTCTAGCTTTAGTATAGAACCCGATGGAGTACAAAATTAAAAAGCAATGAAAATAGCAGATAATCATGGAATCTTTGGAATGAGGAGGCAGTCCCAAATTGGAGTTCCTTTAGCATACATGTAGCTCAAGCTCTTAGTTGGAGGAAAGTAGAAATTGAGGTAATTCTTTAATTCCAAGAAAGTCTTCCTAGGGCATCAATACACACATCTCCCTCAAACTTGGTTCCATCCCTGCTCTTTTGGCTTATAGGTAATTTACCTTCCATTGCAAATATCCTCCTGAATAACAGCTTGGCTCAGAATTATAGTTCTTCATTCTGCCTTTTCATTTCCACTCATCTGCCTCTTTTGAAGAAATAAAGGAACCTTCTGTTTGAAAGAGAAGTTTTATCTGTATCTAATGTAGCAGACCAAGAGTGATGACACCAGAGTGACTTTCCCTCAATCATGTCATTTAAAAAGCAGAAGTTATTTCACTGAAGAGTTAAAATATTTGTAGGGGGAGAGATCTTAGAGTTTGCCAAGTGGTACCTCAGTTTGGGGGGGAAAAACAATGTAATTTTATATTTTCCAGGACCTTGAATCACCAATATGACTACACATTTGATTGGACAATGTTAAAGCAGAAAGCAGCACAGCAGGCAGCCTCTTCCAGTGGGCAGGGTCAGCAGGCCCAAACCCCCACAGGCAAGCAAACTGACAAAACCAAGAGTAACATGAAAGGTTAGTAGCCAAGAACCAAGTGACGTTACAGGGAAAAAATTGAATACAAAATTGGATAATTCATTCATTTGTAACAGTGTTAGATCAAGGAGGTGGTTTTAAAATACACAAAAATTTGACTCTGTGTTTTAAAAAAAAAACGTCCTTGGAAAATTTGACTACTAACTTTAAACCCAAATGTCTTTGTTCATATATATATATATGTATATGTATTTGTATATACATATATGTGTGTATATTATTATATCATTTCTCTTGGGATTTTTGGTCATTTTTAACAGCTGCATCTTTTTTACTCATTCATTAACCCCTTTCCAAAATAAACATTTGGTGTCGGGAATATGGTATTATATCAATCAATCCAAAATCCTAGACCTAACACTTGTTGATTTTTAATAATGAATCTGATTCGCCATGGTATTTTGACTTTCTTTCAGACTAACAGTGTTAAGAATTTTTTTGCATGTTAATACTTTAGTATTTAAAGGAGGAAATTGTGAACATGTTCTAATTTCAAGAGGTGAGTTTGGCATTGCCCCTAAAGTGTCCTCTCGGTTGAAGAGTATCTCATGTACTCCCAAATGCTCAAGTAACTGCAAAGCTCATAGATCTTTCCTAATCACAAAAATAAATTTCTCTTATTTGCTGGTCAAGTGTAAAAGTTCTTAATTTTAAAGTGCTTTCTTTGTTTCTGGCTTTATTTTTTTAAATGTTGGAAATATCAGGCTGTAGGTGTTCATTGTAGAGTTGAAGTGTGCAGTTAGCCCTCGAGGATTGAAGATAACTGGGGCAAATGCCATTGTGCTGCTCATCTATTTCCTTTCTGTCTTTTTGCGGTACTCTATGCTTCTGTGGAGTACAACTGTTAGGGCACAGCTCAATTTCTTAACCGCTGTCGCCATTCAGTTCAACTCCTGTTTTCATGTTTTTTATTTTCTTTTCCCCTTTCTGGGGCAAGTGGAGGGCAAGTAAGGATTGATTTTATTTTGTTTGTTTCTAATTATCTAATTTCTGAATGACTTCTCTGGTCTGAACTTAATCTTCATAGAGGCTACTTTTCAAGAAGTATAATTGAAAAAAAAATAGTATAATTGATGTTATCCTCATTCCAGCAGCTCCATCTATTAGAAATGAAGTTTGAGGTGTTTCCCTTCTGTGTTTCTATATTTAGGAAGAGTTCAAAACTGAAGTTGTAATGTAGCAGGGATCCTTTGATGAATAAATTTAAGCTCCAGGTAGCAAACTAATACTTTGCTCAGCCTCTTTACCTTAGTTGGGATTTGTTGGCCTCTTAATGAGTTTTAATTGTATAACTGATTGTAGGGCCCATGAAATCCATAATGAGGTTGGTACTCTCACTGAGAAATGGTTCTACTATTTAGTTAAGACCTAATATAATCTCTAAGCCAAGGACTTCCTGTACTTGGCATGTATAAGATATTTGCTTTTTCTCACAAAATGAAGCTAATTTTGCCTGAAGCTAGCTGGGATAATAGGATCATCATGAGTTGCAATCTCTAGAACTAAAATTAGATTGAAATCTCATCTGGCCTAGAACATTTTACTTCAGACATTCACCAGCCTTCAGAAAGAATTACTTTATTTTGAGCTAGTTCCATTGTTCACTATATATCTTAATAAATAAGCAGAATTTTTGTCCTGCTTATCCGGGTTTTTTGTTTTTTGTTTTTTTTTTTTTGAGACAGAGTCTTGCTGTATAGTTCAGGCTGGCCTCAATTTGGACCAATCCTTTGGCCTCAGAGTTCCAAATACTGGGATTATAGATATGCAACACCATGCCTGGCCTTATCCAGGTTTTAAAAAGATGAGAAATTAGATCTACCAAGTTAGTGTGTTTCATCTTAAAAAGAAAAAATTGTAATTAAGTTTAATACTTATTTTGTATTGTTGCTATTTTTCATAAAAGTAACTTAAAATCTTACATTTAACAGCATCACCAGACAGTGGTCATACAAATTATTAAATGAACTCATAAAATTTTGAAATGTCTCAATAAATAATCACATATTGACTACTTTCAGAGATGAATTTCTAAGGCTAGGTATGTAGCCTTGTAGTCCCAGCTACCTGGGCATCTGAGGCAGGGTGATCACATGAGCCCAGAAATTCAAGGCCAGCCTGGGCAGTGTAGAGAGACCAGGTTTCAGGAAGAGGTAGGAGAGAATTTCTAGGTGATAGATATATTTTGACCCCAAGCAAAATATTGCTTGTTATTAAAATATGCCGCTCCACAGAATATAAGTACCAGAATTATTTTTCACTCTTGAACTTCTTGAAAGCATCTGTATTATTTCTTGTGTATGGAGTATAGTGCCTAGTCAAGTCTTATAAAAATCCCTTTGTATATAGAGCCATGAAAATATAGCAGGCTGAGGGGACATCCAGTAAATATGAGGCTAGTCTAACTTTCAAACTTTACCTCCAGCACAATATAAAAGTTTTTTTTTATTTCAATCTGTAATTAGTAGAGGTGTGTAAAAGTAGTCTCTTAGGGCCCACTAGAGTAGACTTTTTTATTTAAGGAAGAATTCAGGCATCTCTGTGATTCTTTAATTCAGGAAATCTTTTCAGTGATGAAAACACAATATTAGATTTCCCTAGTTAAAAAATTTAGTTGCCTCCTTAATAATTGCTTTTATTTTTAAATAATAATTGCTTTTTTTAAGATTTGCATTTTAGTGAATTCAGTATCATAAATGGATTTTTATAAGTAGATCTGTATTGTAGGAATATTTGTTCTTGGGGAAATTCTCCAGATAACTGTTATGGTTATTTTTGAAATATCTATGTCTAATGTTTCCTTCATGGAAAATTATAGTAAGTTGCATTTTTTTTTTTTTTCTTTTTGAGACAGGGTCTCACCATGTAGTTCAGGCTGGCCTTGAACTCACTGTGTAGCCCAGGCTGGCCTCAAACTTCAGCAATCCTCCTGCCTCATCTTCATGAGTGCTAGGATTGCAGGCAAGCACCACTGCACCTGGATTAGCAGTTTATTCTAAAATGTCCAAAAGACTCTAAAGTTCAGCTTACTTAGGTAATATGGGCTGGTTACATAATAGGCAGATTGCTGCCCTGATTACTTTTCTTTATTCTTTTTCAAATACTACATTCCAAAGTCCATCAAAAGACCAAGGAAACAAGGCTTTTCTCCTAATGCTCATTATTATCTGTCCTAGTTTTTCAGTGCTGATGTGCCAGATTATAATTTCATGTTTTTAGTTACATTCAAGAGAAAAATAAATTCACACCCAACACACTAACAAAGACATTTTAACTATGTGAAATTCCTTTTCTTCAGCATATGTGATGATCAGAAAAACACTTTTTAATACATTGAAACAGTAGTAAACAAGGGAAATAGTTTCAGGACATTTAAAAACTAGTTAATGTCAAGCACAGTGGCATGCATATCTGTAATCTCAGCTTTTTGGGAGGCTGAGACTGTAGAATGCAAGTATTGCAATACCTCCTCTCAAGAAAGAAAATACTATCATCATCATCATCCAGTTAAGTTCACCAAAATTACAGAAATAATGAAATCAAAGATTAATCCTTATATAATCCTATTCTCTACTCTCATCATCTTAACTCTTTTGCTTGCCATACCAACTATAGGTATTAAACATAGTTTTATCATAATAATGTAAGTGGATGTCAGAATTGTTTGCATTCAGAGAAGATTAGAAGTATTTTCCCATCACATTAACCTACCATGTCCATGGTCTTCCTTAAATTACTTTCTAATATGTACTAGGTTTTACCTGCTAATTATGTGTGGCTGAACTTTTTCTGACTTCACCATACTGCCAGGAACATGGCTGATCACTTAGCAACGTAACCCAAATCACAGGGGAAGACATTGAAATAACTGAAGATGATCTGCTCTGAATTCACTCATTCCAAAGAAGCACTAGTCAACTTCATCTCCTCACTGAAATCTTGAGTTTTTGTCAGTTTCTTTCACTGTGAACAGTAAAGCTGGAGAGAAAAGAATTAAGTAACCCAACAGGAAAATGAAGATGAGTATGCAAGAACTGATTTGTGATGACCTAGAGCCCATGTCTCCAAGGCTTTCTGGGCCCATCAAATTTTCAACATGTCAGATTACCTGGATGACAACTTTCAGGAGACCTAGAAGAATAAAAGTGTTGCAGTGATTCAGTGGTGTATAATGCAGACCATCTACTAGTTGAAGAAGGATTCAGTTGTAACAGGTATTTTAATATTCAGTGACTTCAGAAATTTATTGGAGAATTTGTAGTAGGGAAGACAAAAGAATCCAGATCATTAGTTTGTTGATGCAGATTGGCATACAAACCTGCTATACTTAAATTGTCAATTGTCTTTTTTTGGTACACATAGAAAATTTTCCCAATAGTTTATGTTTCTACTGGAAAGAGTTATTGTAGTTTTTTGTTTTTAAACTATATATATGGCCAATCTTAATTCAAAATATCTGAGCTTAATTTCTGTGCAACCAAAAGGCCACGAAAGCATATAGTCAAAGTTAATAGAAATGAGATTTTATAGTGACAACCCATCACACATTTATAAGACTGCTATAACCTGCCAGGTGTGGTGACACACACCTATAATCCTAGCACTTGGGAGGCTGAGGCAGGAGGATCCTCGAGAGTTTGAGGCCAGCCTGGACTACAAGACTTACTACTACATAAATATCCCATTAAACTAATTTTTGGTTCTATTTTATAAAAATCAGTTATATTTGAAGTGAATTCACAAATAAAATACATTCAATTTTTAGATTTCAGATTGAGGGACAGAATATTCATTCTTGTATAAAAATAATAAAAAGTTTCATTCCCATTTGAAGATTTAAAAAGAAGCTTAAATGCAGCCATTAACTCACGAATCATCACGTTAGTCCTCCAACTCTGTTTTAACTTTCTTTTCCTTTCTATTTTAGGAACAAGGGGATTCATCCTTCATTTTTAAGATGTTATAGTGAAGAAGTATTCTTGAATTTTTGAGAGCCAGGAGATGTCATTCGGATTGCAAGATAAAAATGAAAGACTAAAGCACAGAAATGTTTATTAGTACTTGAAGATTGAATGTTGAATACCTGCTGAATCTTCCTTTTAAGATTTTACTTACTTCAGTAACACTTCGAACAAATCCTTGGAGAAAACCATGGATCCTGGGTGGAGTGTCCCTCCACTGGCTCGTTTGAAGAGTTAAATCTGGATTTGACTGCTGTTCTCATACCAGAATATTGTTAGGCCAGCCTTTAGCCAGTCTTCTTAAACAGTTGTAATCACTAATTGACCTAGCGATTCTGAACAGATAAAGTTCTTAACTAGAGCTTTCCCATTATTAAAAACCAGAGAGTTTCCTAAGATTTTTGGCTGATAATATAAGATTTCCTTTTTAGTTTGTTGGTGGTCAGTTTTCTACTTGAAAATCATTTGGAAAAATTCAACATGACAAATTATTCACTACAATGTGATTACATAAGCAAACTATTATTAAAAAAACCCACCAGTTTTAATAGTTGTGGAAATGTTTCAAGAATAATTTCAAGGGGGCCCGGGATGTAGCTCAGCACTGCGCCTGCCTGACAAGTGCACTCCTGAGTTCAATTCTTGGTACCAGGAAAAAAAAACAAATGGGAATCACAAGAATAATTGCAAGGCTTGAAACCAAATCTTAATACTATAAGGGCCATTTCTATTTGAGTAGACCATAGTTTCTTAACTTGCATACCTTAATTTAGTTAATTTACTTGAGGCTTGGTTTTGTTTGTTTTTAGTTTATTTCCGGACCAGGCATAGTGGTACAAGTCTGTAATGCCAGCAGAAGCTGAGGGAAGAAGATCAAGTTTGAGGCAGCTTAAGCTACATAGCAAGACCCTGTCATATGTGAATAAGAGATTACTTTGTTCATCCAGTTTAATAATGTGTATCAAGTATATAATGTTTGCTGTGGTGAAATATATTCTCAAGGTTTCATTGTCTTTTTTTTCACATTTGCTTTCTGTGAACTTAATATTCAGACAACAATGTCTTTTATGTACCTACTGTTTTGTTAGGCACTGTGAAAAGACAAAAAAGTAAGGCCCTCATATCTTTGTCCATAAGGCTTACTTAATGCAGTGTGTTTATCAAATAAATGAGGATGGTAGTTTCTGCCCTTAAAATGAAAAAGTTAACAAGAGAATATTTACCAAGAAATGATGTATAAATGTTTGATACTATTTTCAAAAACACCTAAATCATACTTGCAATAAAAAGTAAATGACAGGGATATTTTATGTATCCCATGAAGCCCAAAGGAGATTGTCTAACAAATATTTGAAAAAAGGAGCAGTTTGTTGTTTTGGGAAATGTGATTTGTTTAAAAAGTTGGAAAGGTTAGAGCTGCTAACATAGGCCATCTGTAAGAGTTTGGAAGACGCACTGGGCACTGGGGAGGCTGAGGCAGGAGGATCACCATGGGTTTGAGGATAGCCTGGGCTACATAGTCCAAGGCCAGGCTGAACTACATAGTGAGACCGTGTCTCAAAAAAAAAAAAGTTTGGAAGAAGGGATCAAAGGAGCATTAATCTCTCAAAGAGTGTCTGTGAGAGGAGAAAGTGCTTATAATAGGATTTTTCAGGTTAAGAGGCATTATTTCCTCTTTGCCAGTAGCCAGAGGTAAAACCTGTAACTATTATGACCTGCGACCTTCTTGTATTCAGACCTGCCTTTATGAAGAAGTCCTAGGGTCTACTAGTAGGGGAAGAGGGAAGTATGTACAGAGTGAAAGGACTAGAGAAGTAAATAAAACCCAAAAAGTATCACTTGTTTACATTTTTTCAAATCAGTGACAAAATTTTTTTTTTTTAATGTCAGCAAGTAAAAGTAAATAAATTTTAAAGCTCTATGTAAGGTTTCTGTTTTTAAAATAACATTTTTTCATAGCTGGGCATGGTTTCACATGCCTGCAATCCCTGTACTTGGATGTTGAGGCCAGTTGGAAACCCTGTTTCAAATTTACAAAGAGCCAGTGTTATAGCTCAGAGGCTTTGGGCTCAAATCTCTAACATTGAAGAAAAACAAGAAAAAAAGTTTATGCTCATAATATGATTGAAACTATACGCTCATTGTAAAAGCAGTCTATCTGTTGTTGCTTGAATGAATTTTTGAAAACAATAGGTATTAAGTAAACTGAACATACTCATTTGAATTACTAGTAATTCGTGAGACTTGTATACTGAGCTTTTAATCCACTGTACACCACTCCTTCCTAGGGTCATCCAAATTAGAAAAATACGTTCTACAGATGTTTTTCTGTTTTAGAGTTAAGCCTAGTGATTCTCAAATAGATAAAATGGCATGAGCTGCTATAGAGTAACTATTGTCTCAGTTCTACCTAGTTTTCCTATTTTGGATGTGTTTTTTTTAACTTGGAATTTTAACGTTCTTTTTTTTTATTTTTTATTTTTTTAATAGGTTTCTAAGCATGAATTGAAGAACAGAAGAAGCAGAGCAGATGATCGGAGCAGCATTTGTTTCTCCCCAAATCTAGAAATCTTAGTTCATATGTACACTAGCCAGTGGTTGTGAACAACCATTTACTTGGTGTAAAGAACTTAATTTCAGTATAAACTGGCTCTGGGCAGCATTGCTGATGCTTTGTCTGGAGTTGTAGCCGCTGTAATTGTGAATATTAACTGAGATAGTGAAACATGGTGTCCGGTTTTTTATTGCATTTTTTCAAGTGGAAAAGTTAACTAAATGGTTGACACACACAAATTGGTGGAGAAATTGTGCATATGCCAATTTTTTGTTAAAACCTTTTATTTTGAAATATCCTGCTTTGAGATCTCATTTCAGAAGAACGGCATGAACAGTCTTCAGCCACAGTTGTGATGGTTGTAAATGCTCACAATTGTGCGTTCTTAGGGTTTTCCATCCCTGGGGTTTGCAAGTTGTTCACTTAAAACATTCTTTAAATGGTTGGCTTCTTGTTTGCAAGCCAGCTGATATGGTAGCAACCAAAGATTCCAGTGTTTGAACATATGAAAGACTGCCTGCTTACCTGTGCTAGAAATAACAGCATCTAAAGTGAAGACTTAAGAAAAATTTAGTGACTACTAGATTATCCTTAGGACTCTGCATTAACTCTATAATGTTCTTGGTATTAAAAAAAAAGCATATTTGTTACAAATTTGGTTAACATCTTACAACTGAACATGTATGTATGTTGCTTAGATATGTAATCACTGTAAACATCTATATGATCTGGGATTTTGTTTTTATTTTGAAATGGGAGCTTTTTTGTTTACAGGTTCATTAAAAACTAAAAACTGTTTCTGTAAGGAAATGAGATTTTTTTTAAAACAAAATGCCTTGCTGACTCAATGAAATAAAAATCTCCCCAATTTTTTGATAGACTACTTCAAGCCATTTGTTACATGATATTCTTTTGCAAGTTGTTTAAGATTTAGTGTTGAAAATTCTTTTTTTTAATTTAAAGGTTTTCTTTGGCTCTAAAGGAAAAAATGTTTTTTTATGACTTGCCAGGCACAGTACCTAGTGCTGCCTCTGCCAGAACTTGACATTGTAATTCTTGCTGCCACTGACTAAACAGCTGGACTGATTTTGAATAAGAATGAAAGCGTTAAAGGGTTTGAATACAAAATGCTTTTCTTTAAAATACTCATGAAATGGCTTTAAGCCCTTGACTCGTCCTTGGAGAGTGTCTCACTGTGAAGTTCAAGTGATTCTTCACCCTCTCTAGCCCCACCCGCTTCTGTAGGTCACCTGTCTGTGTGTGTGTGTGTGCGCGCGCGCACGCTGCTTGATCTCATTTGTGCACTCTTTCTCTGATGAAAGAAGAAAGCTTATCAACAGTAATTCTTTAAGTAGTGTAATTTATTCATTTATAGCATGTCGGGATAAATTAAAAGAACAATAGTCTGAAAATGCTACCAAGAGCTTATTGTGTAAATGTAGGTATTTTACTTGTAAAGTAACCTTGAAACTGTAAGTCGACATGTTTGGTCAGATTGTATTGGGTTTAATTTTGGGGTTTTTTTTTAAGGTTTGTTTTTTGTTTTTTTTAATTTCAAAAGTACTTTAGCAATAATTCCATAATTGCCACATTCTGCCATTAATGGATATATTGGTACCATAATATGGAAGAAATCTTAGCCTGAACTTTGGGGTAGGCAGCTTATTTTTTTTTTCTAACCACTCTTGTCAATTAAGGTGTTTCTGGGGTTTTGTTTTGTTTTCTTGACTAATAAACCCTTTGATACTTTTAGCCAGAAATCAGTCTCATAAAGCTATTTTTGAGTATAGTTTGTGTAAAATAAAACTGTTTAGCTTTGGTAATAATAACTTTTCCAAGCTGAACTCCCTCTAGCAAGATATTTTTCAGTGCTTTTATTTACTATGCACTTAGACTATGCACTTTTTCTGAAATATTTTTGTAACACTTTTTTGTATTTTTGCCATTTGAAAAGGTTGTGGTGTAGTTGGTCTGTACTTAAGTTGCAGATTTAAACCTGCTGTTAGCTTTGTAAATCAAAATATAGGTGTTTTTGTCCTGTTATATTGTTAATTTCATCTGCAGCTGGAGCTGGAATCCCATTGATCTTCTAGCTACCATTCATTTTCTGCACAATTCACAAAAGAAGATTGAGAAATTCAGTGAATGCTGTTACTAATCCTGTTGGGAGATGAATCTCATTTCACCAAAATTAAATTATGTTTTTCCACAAAAATGATGACACAAGTTGAAGACACATCACTCTGAAATTGGAAGACCTCACCACTTAAGGCTCCACGGTGGCTTTCTCAGCTGAACTCTAGGTTACTACTCTTTACTTTGTTCACCCATTGGGGGGTGCAGTTTTTTTAAATGTTGGGAGATGAGCCTTCTAACTACTGTTGAATGTCTCTGTTTTGGGAAGGTATAAGAAGAAAATAAAAAAATATATATGAAGGGAGAGACTGGTTATCTCCTCCCATATGGTTGTGCTTATACACTTATGGCCTACAAATAGATATTTGGAGGTTTGCTTTTACTATGATTCCCACCAACAAATGTTTTTATTAAGAGATTTTCCCACATCTACTAGTCCTCGAAATACTATCAGTATTAAATGTTTAAAGTAGAACATACTGTAATAATTATAAGCTTAATTCCATTATAAATAATCAAATAAGGATTTTAGAACTCAAGCCAGCTAGTTTTCCCTAAAGGTTGCAGAGAAAATAATAGTTTCAAGCCTGGTGTGATGATACACACTTGTAATCTAGCAACTGAGGCAGAAAGATCACAAGTTTGAAGCCAGCCTAGGCAAAATAGCAAGATCCTGAGGGTATGGCTCAGTGGTACACCTGACTAGTATGTACAAAGCCCTGAGTTGATCCCCAGAACTGGGTGAGAAAAAGTTTCTTGTAGTTCTTGAGTAGAATGAGCCACAGAATTCTAAGAACTGATTTCAACATTTATAACTGGCCCTTTTCCAGTGAGTCCAGGACAGTTTGGCAGTAGCAATATTTTGCATTTATTTGCCAATTTTTAAAACTGATAATCATGTGACCAAGATGTGAAAGGATCTACATAAAGTAGTAAAGAACAAATTTATCCCAGCTGTGCTGGTGGGGGTGGGGGTGGGGAGGGCTGGGAATGTAACCTAGCACCAAAGAAGCTACAGCTGAGTTACGTTCCCAACCCATTCTGTCTCCTTTACCATGAATGAGCCTGGGATAGCCTGTGTGGTGCACACTAGTAATCCCAGCACTCAGGAGGCTGAGGTAGGAGGATGGCCTGGAACAGGCCAGCCTGGGTTACAGAGTGAGTTTAAGGCCAGCCTGAGCTACATAGCAAGACCTTGTCTCAAAGGGCCTGGAAAGTTCATGATAGTTATTTTGGGCGGGGGGGTCCTATTTTTGTTTCGATAGACTTTTGAAACAGCCAAAGATGGCAATAAAACAAGTGTAAACTGACCAAAGGAGGCTGCACATCCTGTGTTTAATCAAGTACAGTGATTGATGTTCTGAAATGACTTACTAGACCAGTTTAAAAGTAGTCATGGAAGTGTGCAACAGTGACAGAAGTTTTGCAATAACTCGCTGACCAAGTAACAGTGGGAACTGTGGCTCCCGGAAGAGTATCTGATCTCAGGGCTCAGGGAGAGAGAGACAGGATGAACCTCGAACATCCTATTGTGCCAGAAATGAGATCTCCAAATATAGTGGGTTCCTGTCAAAAGAGCACAGGATTGCATGAGGGTTCAGACGGGCCAAATCTATGTGTCCATTACATTACCAGAGTCATGATCCTAACTTGGTAGCTCGTTGAATAAGCATCCATAATTGTGAGAAAGCTCTTGAAGACCCAACTAGTAAAAGGAATGGTACAATGAAAAGTAACTAGTTTTCAGAATCCTTATATATCATTTTGATCCTCAAAACAGTCATGAGACAGTTACTGTTACTTCTAGAAAAATGAAAGTGCAATTGTCAGAGGTGGGACATCTTGGTGTGATTTGTAAAGTGAGGGCCTAAACCTGACTCCCTCTAGCTTTCATATAGTTAAATGGTAATACTGTCACCTTTTTAAACCATTGGTAATGCAATCTATGTCAGGCACTATTTTAAGTGCTTTACATAAATTAGGCTAATCCTTGGCTTTCTGTAAGGTAGGATCTGTCTTGTCTTCCATATGAGTGTGTAAGGCAAGGTAGAGCAGGTAGTTTACTCTCGTTTAGGTGATGGGATCAAGGGAGTGGGTGTGTTGGCTGGGATGGAGATTGAACCCGGGCATACTCTACCACTGAGCATACTCTACCCCTGACCCTAAGATTTTATTGCATTTGATTTTATTAGATGTTATTAAATAGTAAAAATCAAAATTGAGCACTAGGGATAGAACAGTGGTAGACTGTTGAGCATGTGCAAGGCCCTGGGTTCAATCTGCACAAAAATTAGGCTGTAAGTGGGGCTTGCTTAATTGAAGTCTAAAAACTGGAGAGTAAGAAAGTTGTGACTATATTGACATACACGGGACCCAATTAAACAGCCCATCTGTGATAAGCATATGAGTATTTTCTGTATCCTAAACTTCTGGGCATCTTACACAGCAAGGCCCGTCAGTCACCTACCTCTCTGTACTCACATCCAGAAAGCATCTGAAGTAGACATAAGTAGGTTTGAGGTGACTTAGTTGTCCTTTGGAGTGTTTGATGTACATTGGATTAGAAAATTTAACTTTATTGTCTAGTCATGAATTACTTTATTTACTAAATGGAAACAGCCATATGCAAAAAGCTATGTGGTAAGGTTTGGGGATATTAACAGTTCAAATAATCTGAGGCAAAATTGTGAGGGTCATTAGCGAAAGTTGGAATGGCTTTAGAAGGCCAAGAAGCTGTGACACTGCATGTATAAGTAATTGTGTGTGTCCTGCGAGGTTTCACTGGTGAGTTGATTCTCTGGCAAAGGTTTACTGTTCCTTAGGAATCTTTACCCTTTGCACACACACTAAAATAAAACAATTTCCATCACAACAGATCTGGGATCCAGGAGAGCAGTGTCAGGCTTTTTACTAATTACTGACATGTTTGATCATTTCATGGCTGGTTAATAGAATCCGCTTTGAAAACCAAATACTAGAGCCTGTTTTCAGGTTTTTTTGCGGGGGGCGGGCGGTACCGGGGATCGAACTTGGGACCTTGCTCTTGCAAGGCAGGCGCCAGAACCACTGAGCTAAATCCCTGGCCCCTTTCTTCAGTCTTTTGCAGATCAGTTGAAAGAAATTCAAGTTCCCCAACCAAGACTACAATCCAAGCCAAGTAGTAGTTTTCACATTTTTTATTTGCCTAGTGGCATTAAGCAAGAGCAACTTATATATTGCATTCATCAGGCAACCTTTACTGGTTACCACCATACCTCCATTGTGTATGATGATAGTGAAAAGAAAATTGTAAGCCAGTTGCTACTTAACAGTCTTCATAAAATGTTGACATTTGTTTAAGTCAGCTTAAAACTATTGACTGAAGTTAGTATTGGACAGATAGAAGTTACGTTCATTATCCATGTCTGACGATCAGAAATGGAATACATAAGAATTGCACTCTGCTAAATAAAACCATATTTGATCAAGTTATTTTTGCTCAAAACATTTCTGTGCACCCAGATTTATGTAGATTATTCTAATATACCAGTGTGTTCACTGAAAGAATTTTTCTCTATAGTATTTTTTGAGGGGTGAGGGATAGTGCTAGGGATCAAACCCCAGGCTTCATTCCTGCCAGCCAAGCACCCTACAACTGGAATGACATTCCCAACTCTTTGAAATACAGCACTGTTTTTTGTGGAGCAAAATGTCTTGGATACAAAAATGTAGCCTTTTCTCAACATTACCATATTAAGTCTGCAAAGCTACTGACACAGAGAAGGAAAATAGAATAACTGTTGGAAACAATTTCAATGGATTTCAGGCCTCCAGCCATTAGTTCTTTATGCCAGTGGACAGTGGCACAAATCTTGGTGATAAAGTGCTGTGTTAGATATTTAGAAGAAAGGGAGGCGGTAGGTACTTTTAGAAACTGCTCATAACAGTTGCTAAGTAAATATTTTTATTAATTGCAAAACTGATTTTGCACTGTGCTAACATAATTTCATTGAGTGTAATGTTTTAGTTGATTTAGATTTAGACAGTAAAGCAAATTAGCTTCTAGTTCTGTGTGTACAACCAGGAAAAATGAAAGTAAATCAGGCAATTTTTTAGTGTCACTGACCACTCTTGTTTCCTGCAAAATGATGAAGAATGTGTAAGCTATTGTTTCTTAAATTTTACATGATTGCAGGATGATTTTATTTTATTTTGCTGTGTTGCTTAGGCTGCCCTCCCGATTCCTGGAATCAAGTGATCTTCCTTCTTCATGCTCCCAAGTAGCTTGTACCACAGGTATGCACCACCACACCTGGCTTATTTTTTTTAGCCTATGTGCAAAAGTGCAAATTCTACACAGTAATAAGGATTAATTATACTCATTAGCATTTACTGATTCTCAGTGCATTAAGGAGGATTTACTGAGTTTCAGCGCAAGGGACTGTTTTGCCCCCTGGGAATTCAGAGGTGATATTTTATATGGGGCTATATGCAATATGGAGTGTTAAAATGCGTGTAGTACTAGTGGAGCAGAAGGCAGAAGATCATTTCTCAATAGCATCTAGAAGAATGAGAGAGATTTCACCGGGTAAGAAATACTTTGTCCTCACCTTGAGGAAACTATAATCTTGGAGGAATGGTAGCAAAACACCCACTTGAATAATTTTAACCAGTAGAGCACCGTTTCATTGGCAGAGATCCAGTGAGAGTACAGGAGGTAAGTGCTGGAGGTTCATGTGTGCTGAGTGCCCTGAGTCATAGCAAATTCTTAGCAAAAATTGAAATGTGGAAATACACAGGATGAGAAGGAAAGTCTCAACCAGCAGTGTTCCCTATCCAGTAGCAGTTTTACTGGCTAAAATCCTTGCATTGCTGTCAAGAAGATGAGAGAACAAAAATAGATACTAGAGTGACTTTAAATGTTACAGGCAGAGGAAGGTGATAAGAGGTGAAAAAATGCAAGCAGCAAACATGAACCCAACATTGAGGAAGGGGGTGGGGGGTGGGTATAGTTTTCAGAGCATGAAGCAGTCCCAAAGGTAGGAAATAGATGGGGCCATTTCCTGGTCACTGATGGAAAGCCAGGAAACAAATTACTCTCTGCTTACAAGTCTGACCCTCTGAAAAGTCCCATGTGTCCTGCTGACAGTAACCAATAACAGCCTTAAGAACTGGTGATGGTGACTCACTGGGTTCCAGGAGATGTTGAAGAGAGATTTTAAGGCGGATAATCAGTCCTTATGGCATAACTATATTTTAATGTCTTTTTAAATGACGTGTATCTTCGGTTTCCACCCTTAGAGGAAAATTGTGCTGTATTTATAACT